TTGTATCAGTCCTTTCTTCCTCCCATGTGCTTCAGCTGTGTCCTGCATGGGTTTTCTTCGGCTTCTCACCCAAATCGCTTCACATCTTGACTTCCCGTGTGATTGGGCCCTAGTGATGAGGGAACCTGGAAACGAGGCGATTCTTCCATAGGTTCGGAGAACTGCAGCTGTGAACATGGGGCTCCACAACTTCCGGGTCGGGGGGAGGGGGTGCTCTTAGCTTAATCTGCAAGACGCTGTCCTCTAGAGGGGCACCTATGACAGCCTACAAAACTATATGTGTCACCCCAAGGCCCACAGCACACATGGCAGGAACCATGGCAACACCTTCGGCTACTTGCCTAGACTGGGAAGAGTGTCTTTTTATTCCTAAGAGGGAAATGGCAAGAAAGGGCAAAGAATGGAGGAGTGTAGAGGAGGATCGAGGGGTGGCAGGCCAGGAGTGGGCAAAGTGGTCTTTAAAAAAAGTGCTGGTATGGGGATGGATGAAGGGCTGTTGAGAACAGAACAATGAATTTATTTTTTTTCTCTTTTTTTAATCTTTATTGTTGAAAATATTACTTATACCCCCTTTTTACCCCCTCACTGACCCTTCCAGCCCATCTCCTGCCCCAGGCCTTCACCACCCTATTGTCTGTGTCCATGGGTTATGCATACAAGTTCTCTGGTTGATCTCCTCCCACCCACCCCCGCCTTCCCTCTGAGACTCAGCAGTCTGTTCCATGCCTCTATGGCTCTGGATCTATTAGAACCATGAATGTAAAGGGTCTGCATGCAATCACATACTGGGACCTCTCTTAGGGAGGACCCCTAATCTTCAGTCAAGTTCTGCTTTGACCAACAGCCTTTGGTTGCCCAGAAGAGGAGAAAAAGAAGGGGCTTTGTCCCACATCTGAGTCTACGTCAGAGCAGATGTGAAGACAGGCAGAGGCACACGAAGGGAAACAGTGGGCGGAGGTAGGAAGTCAGGGCAGGAAGAACACTGGGTCATCCCAGGCGTTCACAGAGCATTGAGGACTGCTCTAACCTTCCAAAAGCACATGAAAGCGATATGAGCCTATTTCCCAGATCCCAGTGGGCCAGGAGTCTCCAGCTGACATCTGGGTTACGTATGGTCCACAAGCTATAGACACTACTGAGAGTATCACCAGACAGTCCACTGGTGAACCAGTGGCTAACATACTGGGGACCAAGTAACATAGCAGACACATTCAAACTGGATCATATAAATTAAAAAAGGAAAGAAGTTAAGTGGCCTGGCTGGTGTAGCTCAGTGGTTGAACATCTACCTATGAATCAGGAGGTCACAGCTCGATTCCTAGTCAGGGTACGTACCCAGATTGGGGCTTGATCCCCAGTAGACAGTATGCAGGAGGAAGCCAATCAATGATTCTCTCTCATCATTGATAATTCTCTCTCTCGCCCTCTCCCTTCCTATCTGAAATCAATAAAAATATATTTTTTAATTTTTAAAAAGAAAAGTAAAGTGTGTCTCAGTCCCTGAAAACACACTCACACACACACACTCACACACACACACACTCCAGTCCTTCCCTATGACCACTACTACCACCACTTTTCCGGGCCAAGGTGAGTTTTTGGCCCTGGATGGGTCCCAGCCCCGAGCTCATGACCCCTGACAGGAATTCCATAGAAAGGACTTGAGTTTTCACGAGGTGGCGAGCTTTGGACTAAACCATCTAGGACGAGTTAGTCCTAGTCTAACTTGGTGGTTTGATATAGCTGCTTGGCTGATAACGACTGTATTGATGAAAGGGATGGAGAAAGGTGTAGGAGAAAGCAGCGGAGCCCCTGTGGTCAGGCGGACAGATCCTGGGTGGACATAGGTTGGGGAGTTATGTGTTTCTGAAGCACAAACATGTGTCATAACAAAAACTGCAGTTTGAAGATGACGGTGCATGTTTTGGGGGAGGGGTTGGAGGTTCAGTAAGAAGCTAGTGGGCCAGCCAAGGAGCTTTATAATAAAACCTGCTGTGGAGGGAGAAAGGCCAGGACTAGGTAGGAGATGCCTTAGGAGGAGAAAGGATTCGATTCAAGAAGTGACGCAGAACAGGGCCAGTTCCAAGAGTGGGGTAGGGAGGCCTTCGGACCATCTTCCCAAGGTCACCATCCGCACCCCCAAGCCCCTCCAATAAAATAAAAACAATAACGGACCGTTCTTTAAGGACAGTTAGCATTAGTTCTGTCTTCTCTGGGTGTAGGTACAACGGCTATAAACGCCACTGGCTCTATTAGTCTGGGTTATATAAAGTAAGTAAAAGCACTGTGCTGCTCTGCTCCCAGCACCAGCATCAGCAGAGCAGTGGTTCTCAAACTGGGCATGCATCGGAACCGCTGGCAGATTCCCGGAACCCATCCTCAAGGTTTCTGATTCAGCAGAGTGGGTGAGGGATCCGAGAACTTGTATTTCTAACAGGTTCCCAGGGACCCCAGTTTGAGAACCTCTGAGCTAGCATGCTGCCCTGACACCCTTCACACGCTGAGCTGCCACTGTTGCGATGCCTTCCTGCTGGAACGAGTGGGGAGTGAAGATGCTCGGTCCTGGAATACTATGGAGGTGGAAGTCGGGAGCGACTCAGGATCCGAGCTTTTTAGGACTCGTTGGAGCTGTTTAAGACAAGTCAGGAAGCCTGCAGACCCAGTCCCTGCGCTCCTGGGCCCTTCGTACGGCTCTGGGGCATCCACAGTCCACGCGCCTGAGGACACTGAATACCCAGCCACCGGCTCAGCCCCTGCTCGTGGCATTTCTCAGCCCCACTGCCACCCCTGTGCCTTCTCCTGTTCTCATCGTCCTGGCTCCATAGCCAGCCAGCCCGACTCGGGCTCCCGGCCCTGCAGCAGGGCCTCCCGGCTGTGACCGGCCACCCGGGGAGCCCTCTGGCTGGCCTCACGCGCTGTCACACCATCTTGCATTGCCCAGGGCGTCACCACGCAATAGGTGCTGGTTCACCCCCTCCCAACCCGAGGGTTCACCTCACTGCCCATCTCTCTCCGCCCCCACCCACTCTGCCAGGGAAGGCGCTCGTTCACCCCCTCAGACACCCAGTGCAAAAATACTGGTGAGCCCTAGCCAGTTTGGCTCAGTGGACAGAGCGTTGGCCTGCAGACTGAAGGGTCCCAGGTTCGATTCCAGTCAAGGGCACGTACCTCGGTTGCAGGTTCCTCCCTGGCCCGGGCCCAGGTCAGGGCTCCTGCAGGAGGCAACCAATCAATGTGTTTCTCTCACATCAACATTTCTCCCTTTCTTTCCCTCTCTCTTCCACTCTCCCTAAAAATCAATGGGAAAATATCCTCAGGCGAGGATTAAAAATAACAAAACAAAAATATCGGTTGACCCTGCCCCTTTGCCTTGTCACTCATCCCGCCCAAGTTACTCCTCTACAGCTCTGCAGTAGGGTCATCCGTTTTCAACACCACCTGGAGTTTTACCTCCCAAAGTAAAAGAGGCCAAAACTGCCTCCATTTTCTTACTGCTTTTGACACCATTATTTTCTTCTCAAGCACACTCATCTCAGGAGAGAAATTATTCTCCTCTCAGTTAGGGAAGCAATCAAAACTCCAGAATGGACCTGCCCTGCTCACAAGCTTCGGGTCCAATGCCCCACCCCCACCCCCACCCCCACCAGGGTCCCTCCCAGTGCCCTGGGCTCTCTTGGCAAAAGCTCAGTCCATTGGCCTGAGTGAGGTTCCTGGAGTAGCTACACATCAAATGTTGGGCTTTGCTGCCACCGTGTGGCCATGTCTGAGCACTACAAGTTATACTGGTTTGGTTGCGGGGGGGTGTTTATACTGGTTTGGTTGCGGGGGGGTTGTTTGTTTTTGACATACAATTGACATGTAACTTTCTATTAGTTTAGGTGTATGACATAACGATTTGATATTCGTATACATTTCAAAATAATTCACCATAAGATCACAGTAAGTCCAATTAACAGTTACAATTTTTTCTTGTGGTGAGAACGTTGAAGATCTACTTCTCTTAGCCACTTTCGGATATGTAACACGGTGTAGCTAACTACAGCAACCATGGAGCACTTACTTTATGCCCCATGACTTTCGCTTTGATTTTGAGATCCCACATTTCAGTGAGATCACACGGTTTTGCCTTTCTCTGCCTGACTTCTTTCACTCGGCGTGATGAACAGGGGTCGTCCTTGAGTGTTTGCTAAGATTAGAAGTTTCCTTCTCCACGTGGTAACCCCCAGCTCACTCCTCAGGAGGGGAAGGCCCACCGGGACTGCAGCACGCTGGCCACGCCCCCTGAGGAAATAATGACTCCAGGTAGGAGGGGGGGGGGGGGGGGGGGGGTGCATGAGAAGCGAGTGTTTGTGACACCGTTTCCAACATGTGAGCACTTCGGCTTCCATTACCATATGCCATTACAGTTCCATAAAAATCATTCCTAGGACTCGACCCCAAAGTGCTGACGCCTCCCAAAAGGAGCCCTGTAAATGGAGAAATTATCCTTTCAACCCCACGCATGGCATCCAATGGAAGGTCCGTACTCGTACTCGGGAGGTGGCTGCCCCGATGGGAACAATGCAGGGAGCAGTGTGGCTCTCCTGCCAGGACCTCAAACGACAGCATCTTTTTCTAAAGGGGGGAGGCTGGGCGTGAACTTCCCATTGGTCAGGCGGGAAAACCGAGGCCCAAGGAGTGTAGGTGGAATTACTTTACGTGAAACAGCTGGTAGTGATGGTGCTGGAAATGAAAGCCCATCCCGCCGGCCGGGTGGCTCAGTGGGTGAGCGTCAACCTCTGAACCAGGAGGTCACGGTTCGATTCCTGGTCAGGGCACAAGCCCGGGTTGCGGGCTCGGATCCCCAGTAGGGGGCATGCAGGAGGCAGCCAACTGATGATTCTCTTTCATCGTTGATGTTCCTGTCTCTCTCCCTTCCCCTCCCTCTCTGAAATCAAGATATACATTTTATTTTTTTAAGGCCTCGAAGGAGCCAAGGAAAGGAGGGAAGGTTTACTCACGGGAGAAGCGGGAGAAGCGGTTGAGTGGCCCGGCAGCCTTGTCTCCAGCTTCGTTGGCAACTGGGAACAAAGAAGACAGAGGCTGCATTAAGAGCAGGCACGTGTGTGAACACAACACGCCGACCTGCGGCGGACGCTCCGGCGGGTTTGACCGGAATGTGTCTGTGAGCCTTGGTAAGAGAACAGAAGCAATGTCATTTCGGCTCCTATGTCCCCAACGCTGCTCCCCGTCTAAGGGAGGTCGAATGTCCGCATGAATTTGACTAGAGCATCTGAAGGGAGCTGGGGAGGACCCAGAGGACACGGAGCTCACGGTGCCGGGGACCAAGCTGGCCCGTGTCCACTTAGCAAGAGCCAGGCAGCCCCGGCCTCCGAGCCAGCGCCCGTCGGTCCTTCTGCCTCGAGCATCCTCCCAGCAGGCTGTCCTGTCCCTCAACACACAACTGCACCCCAGCCACTCGCCCTGAGCCCGGCTTCCTCGGACAAGCAGCGGCGAAGCCAAGGCGGGGATGTCAGGAGAAGCAGGGTTGGTTTTATTCGAAGGACCTTTAGATTTAGACACTAACAAACAGGGGCTTCAAAACGGGCGTCCCAGGAAGCTTCCCGGGAACTGCTCGAGGAAACCCACCCTCCCGCGTCTGGGCGAGGCACACCCTCCTCGGACAGGCCTCTCCGTAACTAATCCCGTCTACTGCGTCGTCATCAACGTCCCCTGTATTTATAAACACATCTGTGTGATTAACAAGGAGGTCCGTTACCAAGTGGAAACACCATGTTCCGCACCTTAAATATCACTTTTGATGCCCATCAAGGTGATACCTCCGTTACATAGTCAGCACAGGCCTAGACATGTGTGACCGACCTGAGTGAACGCCCGAAGCAATCAGCTGGAAAACACATGTGTGGAAGGAAGAAGGTTGGTAATGTGACCACTACTGCATGAGGTCGCAGTGGCGGAAGGAAGAAGTGACTCCTTCATAAATGCATCCCAGCATTTGGCAAAGATAGAAGGAGTCAAAAAACTCTTTCTCTTCCTCTCACAGAGGTAGACATCTTTACATTGACTACATGTGCGCGGTTTTTTATAATTAAGAGATCCGATCTCGGTCTAGGTCTGTGCTTATGTTATTTGCATTGCCCCAGGCTCCCCTCCCTCTGTTCTTTACAAGCCATCCTGTCACACATATGACCAGCAGGGGGCGGTGACGCTGCATCCCGCTCCCATGATCTCGCAGCCCAGCCATTCCCAACAGAAAGAGGGAAAGACAGACAGACAGACGGACAGTGAGAAAGAGGGAGGTGGGAGGAACCAGCCCAGGTAGGTACAGATATGTGTTTCCCTGGTCCAGAGCCCCAAGTCTAAAAGAGTTTACCAAAATTTGCCGAG